AAGGATTGTTCTTTGACGTATTTTCATTGATTCTATATGGCTAGCCCGGTGACTACTTGTTGGTGACTACTTATTATTAGAGTAAATAATCTCTTCTAATGTAGGTAAAACCGTACCCATTCATTCAACTGTGACGTTCTATGAACAGTTACTGACTAGTCACCAGCTCTACTGTGTAACATCTTTTTGTAAGTCTGCGGAATCACATCATTACTAAATTCAAAACTAATATGACTTCCTTTCATGACATCTTAAGATAAATAACACCTAAACTGGTTTAATACTTTCTGTGCTTGTTGAACCACACCTAATAGCGATGTAGGATTAGTCAATGGATCATCGCATTGGCCATTTGTAAATAATCTATATTTAATTTCAGTTGAAGATAGACAGTCATAGACGTGTGAATTCAGTACGCCAAAGTGATATAAATATTATTTTCTAGTAACATATTACCGCGAGAAGGACGAAATTAAACAAATTGTGCATTATGGAGAAAATCAACTTTTTCAAAGCCAGTGTCCAGGCTAAATCTAACTTCGTCGATTGGTGCCGATCCTGAATGTGGAATACAGAAGAGGAACATCAACGTTGGTTAGGTCCTCTAATGTTGTCTCTAAATGGAGATAATGGGCCTGGAACAACCAAGGTGCTATCAAGCCGCGCCCATCTATGTACTAAAATCCGTCCGCGCCCTCAAGAGAGTGTCCCCAGGGACCCGGTTTTTTGGGTTTTAAACAATTTGAACTTGATAACTGTAACCAGAGCCACGAAGACCCTAGAATAGCAAAAACATGGAAGCGAATTTCTGGGTGAACGCTGCCTTTGATAGCTAAATGAATCCGAGGAATCCCCGCCTATAAGTTAGTATATTAGTAATTCAGGCTAGGAACATCTCCCAGCCTGATTTTGACGACCCCCTTTTCTTCTACTCTACGCATCTATACTGTCCCTTAGAAGTTTTCCAGACTGGCGGGTGAAGATGAAGCGAACGTCAAGTGCTTGTCAAAAGAATTCTGCATTTTTTTTACTTGGCTTCTTTAGGATCCATCAACAATTTTCAAAGGTTCGAGTAAAAATGCTTTGCGAAGCTTTGATTCAGATTTTGCAAATAATCTACCCTTTGATTCAACTGGCTTTGCGGCTGGAAGGCGGGGTTTCGTGACCTAGTTAAGGCTAGATGATCAAAGAGCATGCTCGCGAGAGAGACGCAGATGGCGGGCGCGAGCGGCCTTAAACAGTTCACAAAGCCCCACCTTCCAGCCGCCAAGCCAGTCAAAACGAGAATTATATTTGAATACTGATTGAAGATTTGGTACGTCATGCAGGCCCTGAGATGCTTCCTTTTCGGTTGATGATTAAGTTTTCGAAGAATTGTATATAAAAAGAGGTTAAAACCTTTTATTTTTTGAAGGAGTGGAAAGTGCCTTCACACTACCTCCTGGCCTACATTTCATTATCTTTCTGTATACTAATATCGATGGTCTAGAATATTCCTCTTTGTCTAACATAAACCCCCAAGCCTCGAAGTTTACAATGAGAAATGAACTCAGTCGTATGCCGTGAACAGGGTAAAGTTTGCTTCACAGCTAAAGTAGCGCTAGAAATACACAAAGCCCTATCGCGAAAAATCTCGTGCTCTTCAGGTGAATTTTGAGGCTTTCGGAGTATTCTCTTCAGTTGTAAACATTAGAAATGCTAGAGTACAGCTTTTAGAGAATAACATAAGACTCAAATTAGCCATAACCAATAGCGTTAGGCTTGATCATCCCTCCCCCCCCCCCCCAGCTCCCCTCCACTACTTTTCATTCACTTCAGGCCCTGGCCTGACCTCGCTCAAAAGCGCTTGAAAGCGCCCAAAAACGCCCAAATTTCTCTAATGTCTCTTTACTTTTTTGTCGAGGAGGAGAGATAGAGAAAATGAAGAGAGGTTAGGAATTTGGGCGCTTTTGGGCGCTCTGGAGCGAATCTGGCCGGAGCCTCATTGTTGAATAATTGGCTCGACTTTCACTGCGAAAATTAATAAGAGATACAAACTAAGCATTGCTCAAACGGTAGCTCACATGATTTACTAGGAAATCCACTGGCAACTGCAGCCCAGATCGTAACCGTGACCTCTTGAGTACGGTAGGATATGGCCTGGGCTGGATTTGAGATCGGAATTTCTCAGCCACGAATGAGTCTATGATCTGCCGCTTGAGCAATAAGCTTATTAAAAGTCTCCCTAACAGTATTAACAGTAACAAAAAATCCACGTGTTTAATTTCTTCTATCTCGATGGACCCTCAGATAATCGACGTTTGTATAAATTTGATTTGAAGATCCAGTCGCTAATAGTACTTTAAATGACCTATTCCCTTTCCTCACATGTAGGTTAGAAAACCTATAGTTTTGCCATGGTGATAACAAAATTTTGTGTCTATCAGGTGTGAACCTCATTTTTTCATAGGCATGTGAAATGTCTTGAGTAAAGTGTAAAGTGCATACTCGACTAGCTGGCGTCACCTCGTCGTCTAATTATTTCCTTATCAGCTTGAGCCAGGCTGAGCAGTGATCGTTTCCCTACGTAAACTGTCTTATCTGTGCTCAACCGTCTTATTTAAAGCGAACTTTGTCCTGACAGAATGAATTATGGTTATCTTGAGCCATGAGAAAGGTTTTGGAGTTATCTACATACATTTGGGGGTTAGACTGTGGAAGTGTTAGAGGAGGCTAATACTTCATGTGTAATAAGGATTTATTTTCGTCGTTAACAAAAATGAAGTCTCGCAAGTGTTTCAAAGTTGTAATATGTCGTTCGGGTCACCTCTGCTTAGGTACAGTCTTAAACTTTCTTTATTGAAATTTTTTCACACAAAGTCCTTTGAACTGAAAAATGATTCCACCAACATTTTTTCTAAACTGTCTAATGTCTGGAGCATTGTGAACAAAAAAATCGATGCTTTGTTTATTTCGAGTGCTCATACACTTGAACTTAAGTCAGAGTTTCCGGCAGTTATTTGCGAATAGCTGATGATCAATTCACGTGAACGAACTACGGTTCATGTGGCTCAGTAAACAGAGGATGGTTGAGCGCACCGCAAACTTTATTAACGCAGGCGAAGACGTGCTTTGCAGCCCTACCTCTTTACTTTAATGAAAACCATAGGCTGAATTTCATGTGCAGCAGTTTGTAATACTGCTGATCCAAATATAGTCCTACGAATCAAAAAATTACTCGATGTGATACATTATTCGATATAAGAATACAAGGATATTAACACATTAAAGGCTCACATGGTGGTTCATGCAATGACTGCCACGTGGGACAATATGACCCACATGGTGGGTCATGACTTGGTTTTCGTGAAAATGACGGCTATTTTGGGATACATCCATTTCAGAAGTTCTTTTACGCTCTGACCATAGCAATTACTTCCGCATTTCTTGAATGCTTCTTAGAATTAATATAAGTATACCGTAGATGACGATCTGTGCGGTTGGAATGGATATTTCAACTTATCCGTGGAAGGCATAGTCCCACAAGGCGGACAACTAAAAATGCACGTTGTCGTCAACGTGTTAATCTTATATATAAAGCTGAAATGCACGTTGTCGTCAACGTGTTAATCTTATATATAAAGCTGAATGTGTGTCTGTAAATCTGTCTGTACGTATGTGCTTTATTTCTGAACCGATTTGGACCAAACTTGGCACACATATTCTTCGGGGCAGGGAGCGTGTCATAGGCTACTTTTCGTTATCGATCGATATCGATTTTATCATTTTTTTTGCAAAATTTGCGCTACGGGGCTGGGAGTTGGCACAGGGGGGGGGGGGTAATCAAGCATGCTGATTACAAATATGTTATTGACAGGGCCGGACGGAGCCGGGTTTGCCAACTAGTGAGATATAACAGAACCTGAATTTCTACGCACAGTCTAGTTCAGATTTGACATGGCGCCGTTACGGTGCAGACAACACTTGTGCGTGATGAATGGGTTTGAAGTAGAAAATCTCGTGAAATCATATACAGTGGCCATCCGTTTCCCACGCTTTTTCGGCACCGAAGCATGGCAACTTATTTCCACGCAAATGTTGTCTTCGCCGCGAGTGCACCATTAACTTTCACTTCTCCTACATTATATAGCCTAGCAGACGTTCTTGTGTTGCCGACAATTGCACGTAAACATTATTACGTGTTCTATGGCTACATGTCGAATGCAAGTTATCGACATTTACAAGTATGGCGTTAATCCCGCGCGATTGTTGTATCAACCGCAATGACAGTGTAATAAGATTTTACTGGACTGCACGTATATATACGTATAGATACCATATGTAGTGCGTGTATATGATAAAAAGATGTAGCTGCAATTGTTTATTTCAAGTACTAAGGTCATTAGGACCACTAAAACTCAAAAAATTGTTTATGGAACCTTTTTCCTGCTTCAATTTTCTTATCAATTCTAAAACCACCTGGACTCAGTTTGTTCGCTTATCATCTTTCCGTCGCACGCCACCTCATGACTTAGGCAAAAACGAATTGACACCGTGCTTGGTGTGTCTGATTTCGTTGAAATTTGCTCGACCGCAACGCGCACGTGAATGGGCGGCGCGCCGACGCCGCCCACCCTTTTGTGTGCTGCCGCAAAACATTAAATCGCAACGCGTGCGCTGTGCACTCGTGGTCCAGGCACGGGCCGCAAAGGAGGGGGGGGGGGGAGGGTAAGGGGCCTAGGCCTTGGTCTCGAAGTTCAGGGTCAAGTCTTCTCTGCATATATTATGTTGTTTACGCGCATACCACTTCATTCGTTTCATTTATCGATTTCTTCTCCGATTTCTGCAAAATTTTGCAAATCTCTCGCCCACTACTCCCACCAGTAAACAAATAAACAAACATTTTGGTCACAGCTCAGTTCTTTGCTCGTCCTCCTCTTGTCTATCTACTTCCGTGTACCGTACCATGTTATTTACGCCCTACTTGTAAACAGGAGGTAATTTCTGATAATTTGATTTTACAGAAAATAAATCACTTCATTACAACACACAAAACAGTATAAGGATGCATGTTGATCAACTGTGTAAAGCTCTTGATGCAACAAATCTCGACGATGAAGTGAAGCCACGATTGAGGTAAGGAAGGAATTTTATATTTTTTAATTTGGAATTTCTCGGCAAGTAAATTATTTTTGCGTGCTCGTTCTATCTCTGGGCTCCAAATTTCGCGCCGTCCAAACGTTTGTGCAGATTCATGTATTTTTTAGAACCAAAACTGTAGTTACAACAATTCACTTATAAACATCTTCCGATTACGGTAGCCTGGCAAGCAAACAGTCATTATTATACACAGTCGACCATACGTGCAATAAAATCTCAAAAACCAATGCAAAAAAACTTCCATGCAAATCAGCCAATAGCGCGAGCCCGACTACAGTAATCCCTGCGTGGAATTTGTGTTATGCAGGCGAGGCGACCTTTTTGCGCATGTTTTGCTAATAATTCGCTGTAATATTGTTACAACGCTTCTAATTGGAATCTTGTCCTAGTATGCAAGATTAACACCCGGAAATAATTATCGCCCGCATTTTAAATTCACATGAACCCTACGCGCCTTTGCACGAGAACATCGAACGCATCGCGAGTCGGCGGAACATCGCGCTTTGCTCGTTCTCTGTGGCCAAAACTGGTCCAACTCAGCCGCACGTGCATTGCGCGTGCTGCGCTCTCATCCTGCTCGTCGCATGATCGGCGAAATGACGAGAGGAGCGAATGAGCCGCACAGCTGCAAGTGACAACAGCTCACCCACCCGAACCACTTGGTCGACTAATTCGTACTTGCAACCAAAAACTCGTCTCAGGAAGAAATGATTTTTAACCAATCATAGAGTGCACTGTCAAAAGTGCAGTCCACATATTTGTCATTCAAATTTGATAGTGCATGAACAGCAAAAATTCATAAAGAAAGGGCAAGAAGTACAAAAATTACAGCACCTTCCATATCAACGAAAAGATTGTAATATTCTGCAAAGTTTAGTAAATGGACCTTCCATACCGCTACAGTATGCTATTGTAAGCAAAAATCTGCAGGAAACTGTAACCAGCCCTTTTGTGCCGCTACAGTATGCTACTATGACTTCGCATACTATACTGTACTATTTAGTGGTCGCTCGAACACGTTTTTTTCAGGGGTTGTTAGGGCAAAAGTTAAATATTCTAGAAAAACACAATGCCGATCTTGCTTTGAAAGGTGGCGCGGAAGTACGGTTACTTATCATACATGTGTGTAAAGGGACCTTCTTGCAAGGTATATGTGCGGCTAAATAAAATCAAACAATGAGATTCTGAACGAGTCTTCAAACTTTCTTGCTTTCAAAATTTTTATGTTTTTGACAAGGTCAGTTAACATTGCGTCAAATCTCGCATTTATTCCTATCTGTTCCTCTAAAATAAGAAATTTGACGCAAAAGAGCACTATTTTTGCCCAAACAGGATCAGTTAGCTGTCTCAAAAAAGCCCCTGAAAAGTGTTTCTTTGATTGGCTTTTGCTGAAAATAGCATCAATTTGTGGACCTCTAAAAATCATGACATTTATAGCAAGTGACATAAATGTCTAATTAATAGGCTTTATCAAGTGTTTTTAGACTGATTCTTTAGTGACCCTATTACTACATTTATAGTTGTTCTCACATGACTGTATGAAATGCAAAGTTTTTAAGAAACCCGTATACCTTATCAATTGGTAATTGGGTTGTTTTTCCAATGCATTACATAGTTTTGCGGGCAGTCGTAAGAAAACATTAGTCTACATAACGTTCAAAAATCGCTACATAATGTGGAAAAGTGGGGAGTAATTTGGTGTTCTTGCGTTTTTGACAACACTTGCGCGAAAACACGGGAGTGCGTACGCTATGGCCATTTTTTGCGCGCACCTTGCAGGCGGTTGCCGAATCACTACTTCCGCACAAATGCTGTCGTCACCGCATATGCACTACAACAATTTCCAAAACAACTAAGTATATACAGCAATCAATGACGTTTGTTACCAGTTTACAACCCAAGCTTCTGACGCAAATAACTACTAACCAGGCTGCTTGCATTTGTGAAGACACCTTCCAGTTTTGTCGTTGATCGACGTCTGACAGCACGCCCTGTTGTGTAAAGATACGATTACCGACCGCAGAAAACATCACAAGTGAGAGTGAAAAACAGGTCGACAGCGAGGTGGAGTCGCGACACCAGTGCGAACCACGTGCTGATATCTTTTCAATGCTAATTTGCCCGATTTGTTGTGACAACCCACGCAATCGGTCATTCATCAGTGTTAGAGAGATAGCTTGATGAGTCGGTATTGATTTGGTAGGGGGTAGAAGGGTTATCAGGGACAGACAGCAGTTTTTTGCATGGAAGAAAAAATCAGCTTTCAATTTAGAAGGTATGAATAAGTGGATTGTCTTCCTTTGCACACAATGCTACAGTAATCCATTAACCCACAGTTTCTGCTGCGTAATTCGAGAAGAGATGTAGACTGTTATTTTATTTTATCTTCACCCGCAAAGCTGTTACCGCTAGTTGCGTTTGCAAACTGTGGATGCTTGCAGTGGACATGGTGATTAAGGTAGTATACTGTAGTGGGCGAGAAAGCCCTTGTACTCTTGCCCGCCTATGTTCAATATCCAACCCTTAACGAATGTAGGCAGTTATAATCACGACAGTTTTTGGAAATGACCAGTCTCAAATTTTTAGATGGGCAACATATTGAGTGAACAATGGAAGGCCTCTGCAAAGAATCAATATATCGATTTTTAGCGCAGGGAGGAGAAAGGCAATTATTAAGGCCCACCGTTTAATGTATTATTGATATAAATCCTGTAAAATGTAGCCAGCTGTAATGACAATGTCCAAAACTCTAAAACTGCTCAGTCTCAAGTAGTCTTGCGTTCTCAATTGGCGGATATATAAATTGATCATTGAGAGTTATTCCTGCAAAAAAATCACTATGTCGATTTTTCAGTGCATCGGACGAGTTCCGTTCGGTATCACTATCAGCTCTGCAACGCATTTCCACAATAGGCGTTGGTGGTTTCGGCAGAGTTGAACTAGTGAAAGCAAATGGAAAAGTATTTGCATTGAAGGTCGGTCAAACTACACGTCCTTACTTATTACCGTAACCTTGACCTACAGTATCTAATTCGAGTTATTCAAGGTAATGAACAAGAAGCATGTGGTAGAGATGAAGCAGGAACAACATGTCATGTCTGAAAGACGAATCCTGCTCTCCGCAGATTGCCCCTTCATTGTAAAGTGAGTACGAGTTCTGGAAAAACAAACGTTTTATCCGATATCTGTACGCCGTACTGCAGTCTCATTTATTTGCAGGTTATATAAGACTTTCCAAGATTCCGATAAACTCTACATGCTTATGGAATCATGTCTCGGTGGTGAGGTTTGGACACTGCTCAAAAGAAGGTATGTTATAGAATAATTTCAAGTTTTATAAAAAATAATCAAATATCTTACAGTGGCCGCTGCGAAAACGATGCCGCGAGATTCTACTGTGCGGCAGCAATCGAAGCACTTCAGTATCTACATGACAAACAAATTGTTTACCGAGATTTGAAACCAGAAAACATGCTGCTGGACCGAACAGGATATCCGAAACTTGTAAGTCTGCCTAAATCTTGGATGTATAACAAGAAATCGATAATCGATTTTTAGGTTGACTTCGGTTTTGCAAAGAAAATAGGTGCTGAGGGAAAAACTCACACATTCTGTGGTACAGCAGAGTATGGTAAGTGATTACAGTATCCCAAAGTGGGTCCGTCGAATGCAAAATTCCTTCAGTGCCACCAGAAATTGTCCTGAACAGAGGACATGATACCTCACTGGATCTCTGGGGTCTTGGAATTTTCATGTACGAACTGTTATCGGGAAGGTGAGCTAAGGATCTTAATTTTGATGGGACTACAGTAATTTTGATGTATTTAGCCCTCCATTCTCTAATTCCGACCCAATGATTGTTTACAACGCGATACTCAGAGGTTTTGATAAGTGGGCATGGCCCAGGTAAGCTACTCACTTTCCCTTCAGAGGTGCTGGAAATTTCAATAATACTTTTAGATGTTTCGACAAGAATGCTATCGATTTGATAAAATCCCTTTGTAAAGAAGACCCGGGCTTACGTTTGGGTTATGGCCATCTCGACGACGTTCGCTCCCATCCTTGGTTTGACGGCTTTGATTGGGCCGAGTTTCGTGCCCGAAAAATGAAGCCGCCAATTGTGCCTGTGGTACGTTCACTAAATTCCATGATTCAGCTCCAAAAAAGTATAATCAGCTGTTTTTGCAGGTCAGATCTGACGTCGATACGAGTAATTTTCTCACTTTTCCTGCCATTGACTCATTTGCAACGGGTAATGACGATTCTGGATGGCATTTTGAGTTCTAAACTGACCCCATCCCAGTCGTCATCTACATTTGTCGATTGTACATATCTGTATATGCACTCTCAAATTATGTGCCATATATGCCTAATCTCCTGTACATAAAGTTTGTTGTGATGTAAATGCACTAAAGTAGTTTGTAAAAAACTATTTGTACACTGATTGACAGGGTATTATGCTTTCTGCTCATAGCTTTAATTTCTTTCAGTGTTTACTCTCAGAAGGAAAATAAAGGAATGACAAACTGTCTTGCGCCAACTAGAATGCGCTGTTTGTAGGTGGAGAATAAAATTGGCCTTGCCTCACCTAAAGATTCGACAACTACGGCGAGCACCCGCCGGCCACCCGCGGGCGACGCCACGTCCATCCCGAGGGCATGCCGATATGTGCCCTGTAAGCGCCCGCAATGCCTGCGGATGACCCGATAAGCGTCCTAACGACGGCAGCGGGTGGCCCGAGAAGCGCCCGATAAATACGCAATATGCGCCCGCGGGTGCCCCAAACCCCCCCCCCCCCAATAAAGCAATGAAGTTTATGAATATTTTTCCAAATTTTGAAGTTTTCCTCTGGCACTTGTTCATGGTCTTTGGCCTTGCGTGAGGGACAGAGTAACTATACCAGAGTTTCCGACAGCCCACCTGGTCCCAGGAGCAAGTAACCCTCGGGTAGATCACATCCACTCTACTCGACTTTCGTCAAGTCGACGCAAATGTGTGGGTAGCCCTGTCACCGCGGCGTATCTCACGCGAGTAGCGTTCTCTCCTACAGCATGTATTAATTGTGGTGTCCAGCAAGACCCGGGGCTTGTCGGAGTAATATTGTCGGGCCGTCGCCTAAAGGGCCGCGGCTTGCCCGAGAACTACAGGGTTGGGGGAAGTCTTTGAACACGGTATTTTTAACGTAATGATGAAGCTAAGCGAGATGATTACATGAAATCAATAGGTAATGTTTACTTAACTGTCTGCTACACAAAACTGGCTTTACAATTCGAAAATTCCTCCTTTGATACGAGCACAAGCTTGGAAACGCTTGGGAACGCTATCCATGGTGGCACGGAGGTGCTTTACGTCGAATTCTTCCAACGCCTTCTGAAGAGCAAGTCGCAGAGACACCACTGTCTTGAGTGCGTGAGCGCAAGCTTTGGCCTAAAGAACTGACACACACTGTAGTAGGGGGTATTCAGATCCGGCCAATACGGAGGCCATTCCGCAGGAGTAATGAACTCCTTGATGTTGCTTTGGAGCCATGCTTGAACAAACTTCGCTTTGTGCGCAGATGCGCTAACCTGCTGAGGACACCAATCGCTCCTGGCAAAATGGGTATTGGTCCAGGTCAACAACCCCTTCTTCAGGATGCTATCCACGTGCGTAGCGGTGTCCACCTCGATGTCGTCAGATACAAAAATCGCCAGCATCTTGCTGTCGGAAGCGATCGCCGCGCAAACCATTACAGAAGTCGGATGAAGCTTTCCTTTTGCGAGTCAACCCTTGCTACTGACTTTTGGGGGCAATCAGGCAATGATTCTGTTGTTTGGCAAGTGGAAACTTTTCTCACGGTAAAAATTTTGACGTCAGAAAAGAGTATCGTTTGGTGGCGTGCCTTGGAGAGACGTTCACGCAGTCGATGGCATCTGCGCAGTCAGCTCAGCTTCATGTCCTCTTTAAACATAAAATTTTAGCATCCTGAAAGGCTTCATCGCAAGGCCCTTTTTTACGATCTCGGAGAGTGCCTACCAGAGATGAACAGCTCTGAAGCCAGCTCAATCAAGATTCGCCAAGGATTGCGACGAAGGCGTTGGCGAAAGATTTTCAGAATTTCGATACTGTCCAAAGTAGCCAATTTACCACTCATACAACAGTTCTGGATGCTGTTCATCTCCTGGAAACGACGCAAGGTGGAAAAGACCCTGATCTGTAAAATTTGGGGAGCCCGCGCAATTTGCTGTCAGCAATTCTCTCCTTGTGCATCTTTTCAACCAACGGTCGCTCCATTCCAGAAGACATATCTCCGATAGGAAGAAAGCTAATAGTCCAGTTTTTTAAGGGTTTGTACTCAAGAGTATAAGAAGCAAACATATATAATTATATACAAACATCTATGGAAAAACCGAACATACAAGGACATCAAAAATCGTTCAAGGACTTTCCCCCAACCCTGTAAATATGCAGTGCGCCCAATAAGGCCCGAGTGTTTTTTGTTGGGCCGCGGGGTTTCGATAAAACTTTGGAGGCCCGCGGCCTGTCCCGATAACATTGGCCGCGGGTGGTTAAGACAATAAATCTATATGCCGTGGTCAGCCAAAAATTTAGCGGCCGCGCACCGCCCAAAGATACCGTTAGGGGCCGGTGGTGCTCGCAATAATTGTCTGAGGATGTGTAGCAGTAAAATATCATTCAAGTGAATAGTATATAAATATGTTCATTTACAAGTAATAAAAAGAATAAAGAAGGAGAGGGAGCAGAGCAGGAAAGCTGAGGTGTGAGGGTGCCTTTGTAACGCGCCGGCAGCCGCCTATAGCCGCTTTTGCGCACTATTCGAATAGGCAGCCCACAACCATAAAATCTTGCTCAGACTTACTCCGTTGAGGTTTATCCGGCATGCTGAACGAATACTATAATTTCTTTACGTTCTGGAAAGACCTCGGGATACCGAAGTAGTGCACAAAAGCATCTACTAGCGGCTAGCGGCTGCAGGGCGGTTTGAAGGCAGCCTGACAATAACATCTAGGCTATCGTCGTCCAAACCGTATCCTACTCTTTATCTTTATAATTACACTTTGGATGCCACTAGAACCATAAAATTTGTATTAATAGGTCCAGTCTTTCCATATGCAAGTTAATAGCAGTAGAGGCTGCCATCGCTCATGAATCGGGGCGCTTCAAGCGAGGGTATTGGCCTTACGCTCGCAAGATATCTACCAGCCTAGCTCCGAGCCTGTAACAAATAAACAAATTTCAATTAGAATCAATTTGAAAAAAAAAACGGTTCATTTTTAAAGCCAATAATGTCTGGATGACGGTCTCTTCCAAAAATCATTATTAGTCAAGAAGAACTGTCCCATCCATGAAGAAGTGGTTTAAAATACAAAATGAAACACAACACACAAGCAGAAAAGAACCGCCATGATTTAGCATAATAAAAAACCGGAGTTGTAAGAGCGGCATTACCAACTAAAGGGAAGGAGTTGTTAACTATGCATATTTGCGAAAACAAAAATGTCAAAACGGCGAGAAACGAGAATAGAAAAAACTGCATTTTAAGAAGGTACACGAAGATTGTCAGATCAAACGTTGTGAATAAGATTACTTGTTAATTGGAACAAAAACTGATCTACCTTCTTGTTGTATAATGCGACATCGAAACACATAGGTTCCGGCTAGATGACTACTCGCATAACGAGATAACGCTTTTCGGAACATTTGATGTATACAGATCAACAAATTGTAAGATTACAGTAGCTTCTGAAATAACTACTACGCAAACCTGCAAGATTTGAGTAGAATTTTTTCATTGGGGGCACGCGGAAGACGACAGTGCGCGTAAAATGCAAGCAGTATAAAGTTTTTTTTACTAGTTTTTACAAAATTTTACTTATGGCATCGAGTCGTGCCTCTGCCTCCATCCCAACCCCCTACCTTGGCGCCGTGTCACTTTAGCACCAAAGAGTTTTGAAAGGCACAAAATTTGGGGCATCGCCTTCCGCATCACATCCATCTTTCATTCATCCAGACAGGAAAGGTGAATGAAGGGAAGCGATCTAGGCAAGCACGGAGGTTCTGACTTGTGACTCTTTAATAAGTTTCAACTCTAAAACGCATTTCAGAACCTTCTAGCGCAGCTGACGTTTGAATCAGTCGCTGACCCACTTGTTTTGTGCTGAAGTAAAGTATCAAGGATAAAAATACTGTAGCTTGCGAACTATTGCTGTACATTTTCCCTACTGTATTACGTTCTTCTTTCAAGTAGGGTACCACACTGGGGAACAATATTCCAAGTGTGGACAAATAAAATCTTACAAAGATGCGTCAAAAGAAAGGACGAGTCATTTACAACCCAGAAAATGAGAACAGAAAAGAGTAAGCTTTCCTAATAACAGCGCTGACCTGCTCAGTAAATTTTGGCTTACAATGAATTATAACTTTTGAATCTCTAGCTGAGCAACACGCTTACAAGGCTGTCCTATCCACCACCAAAGCGCTTGCAAAGGTCCCTGTATTCAAAACAGATTTTACAGAGATTACGTAGATTCAGCACAAGAGATTAGTTTATATGCGTGTTGTAATGCAATTGAACGATCATCTACAAAGCTATATTACCACAAAATTCGATGTATTAGCGTAAGTGCAGTTTTATGATGGAAAAAGCTGGAAGGTAAACCAAGATGTATATTAGAAGAAGCACTTCTCCTTGTGGAACATCACTAAATTCACTTAATTCAAATTTGAGTTTCATGAAGCGGTGTGCAGGTAGAACGCAACCAGTCGAGCTAAACCGTCAACTTCGCCTTCAACTTAAACAGCAATTAGCATGGCAAACTCCGTCAAAAGCTCCAAACAGATCAAAGGCACAACTATAGATTTTAGCGATTTGAAGGTTACATTCAATTTAGGCGCTATTAACAAGGTTAGTCGCGTGATAGAGGTGCCTCAATGACGTCATGTTCTCAGCTGAGATCGGACGTATCCATCCTGTTGTATACAGGGTGTCCCAAAAAAAATGTGAACACTGTTTGATTGTTAATAACTCCCTTGTTTTCACGTCTTTCGCCAAGCTTGAGTCACCATTCTTTAAAGCGAGGTTTAACTTAGATTTACATTGTGGAGCGAATCGTGGATTGCTCTTCATTAGTAGGATTACGGTAGGAACTTCGGCAAGGATTTTAGGCCATTGGAGGCCATATTCTTCTGGAACAAAATCAAACAAGCCAAAAACTTTAATGCTATTGTAATGGAAGCTGCTGATTTTGAATATGAAATTTCCACTTTGCTGTGATGCTTCTTTCCGCGGTTACGGGTGAACCGCAATAACTGGATTTCCAGGACTTGTCAGAAATGTGACTACACCGTCAAAAAAGCTAAAAACACTCGCAAAAAGTTGTCTACTGGAATCAGCGTGCGCGAAAACCCTATTACACAATTTTTCAGATTTTTTGAAAAAAATTTGTCAAATGGCATATTTCACAATGGATCCACATGCTAGAAGCTCATACCGTAATCCAACAGTGAAGAAGAGCGATCGGTGATTCGCTCCATACTATAAATCTAAGTTGAACCTCGCTCTACAGAATGGTGCGTCAAGCTCGGCGAAAGACATGAAAGCAACGGAGTTATTAACGATCAAACAGTATTCACATTTTTTTGGGACACCCTGTATGTATCCACCTTATCTTCATAACTTCAGTCTATCTCTTATAACTTTTTCCTACTTGACTATGGATTGACGCTGATGAAAGACTAATGGGCCAAAAATCACTGACAACTTAAATTTTCATCTTTTGGTAGCATTGAGTCCGGCTGCCGGACTCAATCAGGACCCGATACACACATACCTTCGATACATAGAGCCACGTACTCTGGTGACCTTCACTTTGAGCGTCATGATAGAACACAACCTTCACCTAGAGGGAAGTCATCCGGGGCGAAGCCCCGGATATCATGTCATAACTAATGACATATCCATATTGGGAGAGACATGAATGAGGTAAATATAGTAGTGACATCCAAAAGAAGCTCAAAAAACCGAAGGATTACGTGTTTATGGCCTTTTTTGCTAAAAAGACTTTTATTCAAAAATTCAATTAGAAACTGGAGCAAAATTTCTCAATTAATCTTTCTCTAGACTTCGTTGAGCGTTTGAAGTTCATGAAAGCCGCTGGAGTTCAATAGAAACGAGAAACTGCGCTCAAATCTTGTCGCTACTTAAATGCTGGTCTATCTCGTTATGGAGTGATTTTCAAGACCCGCGACGCTGTCAGTGCTCCTGGACGTCTTATCAGGATCACAAATATATATATTGTTACAGGGTTTCGTTATGATCCCGCGGAGATTAATGACCAGAGCCAAATGCCCCGCCGGCTCTGGTCTGTCTCCGCTGCTCGTCTGCGTCTCCGCGCGCTGCGCGCTGCCTCGCTACCCCAAACGCGGGGCGCGTGGCATTTGGCTCTGGTACCCTTTTCTTCGTTGGGAGCCCAATTTCCACAATCTATATATCATATTGAAGTTCTTGATCTTTATTTTTTCGACGCTGACAACGTCGCAAGGCTCCTCTTTATGATTTAAACGAGAAATCTGGAAAAAACGGCGTTCTCAAAAACCTCTTGTTTCTTCTTCAATTTAACTCTTTTCACTCGGTTTTTTGTGTATTCGACAGGTCTTGTTTCTGTCTATGATGTAGACAAGGTCGCCGAGCTTACTTCTTTGCTCATGCCGGTTTTTTTGTGAAAATCACCAAAAAGTGCGTTTTTCTTTACCTTGTTCTTTTTCAATGCTTTTACAACGAACTTTCTCGGCTTGGACGTTACTTGCTCAGAATGATGAGCGGAAGAATCCAGACAACGTCGCAGGATACGAAACGACCATGCGGTGGTGAAAATTCAAAGGACGCGTCAAAAATCAGATTGGCGTCGAAGTGCAACATAACTTTTCAGACATGTTTAACATGTTCAGTTCAGTTGTTGACAAGTTTGCCTTTTTTCGGTCTTCTAACTACCGCCACAGCTAACGCTTTTTTTTTAATTAGAAAAGAACTGTTCCTGTTGCCACCCAATTTAACCGGCAATTCTGAAGACGAAAATGTGCGTAGGAAACCACCGTGATAAGGTTTTAAATTTGGTGATGTGTTAGCCTCTGTTTTATATGAATTTTTCAAGTTTCCTGGTTCAATTCAGATCTCTAAATTTCCATCTGTTTTTTCTAAAACAACCTTCACTTTTTATAGGGGGCAAGAACTCAAACAACTATCACTTTCTAGGCTCTGCCTCTTGACTATCGAAGGTATGGTCCAGCACTTCCAAAAAATTTGAGAAATTTTGCAAAACCAACATAGAGAGTGCACATCTTTTACGGACATGGGAGTGAGGCCATCATAAGTTCTAATGGACAATTTCAGCTGCTACAATAGCTGTTTCAGATTAGATTTGCCAAATGGCATTAAGACTTCTGATTTTGTTAACATCACCGAAATTATATTCCGACAGAACTTCCAGAGTGGAAATGTGGCACTGCATTTCTAGTATTGATGTACCGAGACAGTTTTTGAGCCAATGCCTTTGATGCAAGGACGTCGCTTACGGTTTGCAAAAATTTTTACGTACAAAGTTCAATACATCAACATTTTCTGGATAAAATGGCGCGATGGATTATCAATCTACATATAAAAAGCCGACATTTTTGCATATTCAGTTATATATGTTCGGTGATTTGACAAATGTAGCATGTGTATATCTCATTCTAACAAATATGAAGAGCAGAGTAGATGGTCTCTTAATGGACAGCAGCCTAAGTTCCTCTAGATTCTCGTTCATTGATCCCATTTGCCGATGGTTGTATACATACCAAACTGTGCGGAAGATCGTTACAGACAATTATTTCTTAGCACAAAGCGAGTTGGTAGCTTTGTGCGCTTGTGGAAAACTCTTTTTTGATGTTGTATTCAGGGGTTGATTAGACGCATGTTGAGGGAAATTTACAATTCCTTGTTTTTTCTCCAAAACATTTTCAGCTTGCCACAGTCGTGCCGGGTGCCAACAAATATAATGCGGTACTGATAGGTCCTGCGGTGGAACAGATATTTGCACCAATAGCAATTTGCTGTGGTGAGATAGTGTACATGCGGGTGGGGGACTATATGTCGCCGAATTTGGAAGAGTCCCGCGCGGATTCCCTGCAGGAACGCATGTCCGCGCATGTACAAGAGTGCGTATTTGTCGCAAATGACCGCGGGGACCGCCCATTTTCGGCGACATATAGTCCTCTACCCTGTACATGCTTAGCGTCTGCCTCTTACTATAATATCACGACATAGATGACTGCTGCATTATAACATTGATTCAATCATGACGATGAGTCTTCTAATCAGTATAGCCTACAGAGTGTATGGTTATTTGATAGTACTGCAATTGTAAAAACGTAACGTTCACTTCACATATCACTAATAATGGTCCTTCAAATAAAAACCTGTTGTGGAGAAAATCGCAAGCACAATTCGATTAATGCTTGCATCTCTAATGGTTGATGGAAGAGATGGTATGCATAGTGAATGAGGAAAAAGGGTTGAATTTTCTCAAATGTGGTGAACAAATCCAAATATGACGTCTACTCTCTCCGTCAGTAGTGCTAGTGGCACTAGCAATACATTACCCAACATGTGTGCTAAGTTTCAGCGAAGCTGTTCTTCTTTCATCTTGATCGATTCTCGCCCGTAGTACTTAACAATATTTGTGAATTTTTTACCCCCTTGTGTCTTCGAAGAAAGACGATCGATCAAAATTATCGCCTACTATGGAAAAAGTAGCGAACATGTGCATCCGTGAGGTTACTTGAACACTTACCACCCTAAAACAAAATTGTGTTGAAGCGGCACAAGCCCTTTTAGCGTATCAGCGTTGCCTTCTAGCGCTTCTGGCGCAAACTCCGCAAACCTCGCAAACTTCTTGTTTATCATCACAAAAGTGCAATGATTTACAAATAGAACAGAATGTCAATCATAATCGGTTAGTTGGGACAATCACCAAGTCACCTGTCTCGCCGCTAATAACCATTGCTGGCATGATTTTCATAACATCATACGTAGGTATACGTTTATTTCCGAAAAACTGTGACAAACGGTGAATTACATAACATCCTGCGATTTCGAGTACCCATCAATATATTACGAATTAGCTTCGCCTCAAAACAATCCTAATATGTTATTTCATGTCATGATTTGCACAGCGGTAGAGAACAGCATTGAAGCGCGTATGACAGAATACAGATGTGGAGTCAAGTGTGAAACAACTCCAACCACTGACCTGTTTTGCATTACAAACATTTACCAAATTGATACCAACTATTTGTCGTTCCTGTTTCGAGAATGAAAGCTTCCTCTCTCTTGAAGTTATTATTAGTATTCGCTAACTATAAAGCTAGCAAAGCTGACAAATTTGAAGAGGCTATCAAGCACATAGACACACAAGTAGGGTGTAACGCAACAAAGTGATCTAGCAGGGTCGATTTCTTGTCATGATTTAGGTCTTGAACAGAAGCGAACTCATCTACCTGCACAAACGACTTCTTGAGCATAAACAAGAGAACGTGGAGAGTCTTAAGCTTGATCCGCAACGGCAGGCGATGCTGGATAGTTTAGAGGAAGTGAAGGCAAAAGATTTTTGTGAACAGTTCGTACAAGAGTACGTTCCCCTTTCAGGAGCTACAGAGGACAGAAGTAGAACAGGTGCAGTTTAGCTCAGTTGGCGATGACATAGAGACTATCAACAAGAATAAGGGAATAGGAGACTTTTTGTACCAAAGTGACATTGTGTTGACAGAGTATGAATTCCACAGCAAGTATTTCTGAGTACACTAGCATTACAGGTGGCAAGTGGATGAAATTCTGAGAACTAAACATGATCGGAGAAGCCGTCAAGCTTTCAGAGATGAGAAATATCCCGAGACAATCTGGCCTAATGCGATTGTGCATTTTTCCTTCTCTTCCAACGCAAGTAAGCGCCCACTTATACTCGAAATGAATCAAACTAACTTTATTTAGCTAACAAATTTCGTGACCTCTTCAGACATGGCGCACTGGAATGGCAGAGGGAGACTTGTCTCAACTTTTATGAATACATTCATGGTGCGCACACACGAATGAAGCACAACTAGCGCCCAAGATCCTTGATTCAGCACCGCACCGTATCGAGCTTGTAAGCGAAACGGGCTGTTGGTCACATGTGGGAAACATGCACAGAGTGCAAGCTCTTTCTTTGGGAGAAGGTTGCGATGCGGTAAGAGATTGGTCATGCCTTATTGGGTTTTATGGCTATTATGTAATACAGTGCTAGGTTTTCGGAATATGCTACAAAAAGGTTTTCATGAAGTTTTTGCTAAAAGGTGGTTGTGTTTTGCGAAATGCTAGGATTTTGTTAAAACATTTTAGCTTGTTGTGAGCTTAGCTTGTTCAAATCAGCACTTCTAATTAAACGAGGAAGTTCAATGGGTCTTTTTGAAAACAATCATGTTATCGTGAACCTTGCATTGCTGAGGATTAAAGCGAATTTAAATGTCTATGTTGTGTATTGAAGCTATGTAAATAGATTGGCATCGCTGCACACGAAATCGCTCATGCCCTTGGTATGTTTCACCACCATGCGAGACATGATCGTGACGAGCACATATTCATTGATGAATCAAAAATCATGGTAAGACTCTTACGCTTCTTAATAGATTAGTTCCTATTGCTGCCTGCTTTTCATGGAGCGATCTTAGGATGGTATGTACGACCAATTTACCAAACAAACCAAGGACACTAATAATAATTATGGGCTTCCCTATGAGTATGGCAGCGTAATGCACTATGGTTCAAGGAGGTTAGTTTTTCTGTTTATGAGGAACACAATGAATAGCACATCTACTTCCAGTTTCTCGGCAGACAAGACACGCTGGCACACCATGATACCTAACGATAAGTTGTATATTGATACATTGGGCTCCCAATTCGTTTCTTTTTACGACAAACTTATGATGAACACCCATTACAATTGTCTAGGTACATACACAGTGGGAAAGCATAAATAACCTTTCCGATCACTCAGATAAATGTAAGTCGCATTCCTCGGCTAAATGCGCAATGGGAGGATTTCCAAACCCCAAAAGATTGCTTGAGATGCGTTTGTCCGGGAGGCTATGGAGGAATACTATGCAATGAAAGGGTAGGGTAGAAGCTTCTGTTGTTTCGCAACGATTTTGAACAACAAGAGTCCTTCAGCCAAGTGGTTGTGGGGAAGTGCTGCAAGCCACCACAGACTATAAGAAATTTGAAGATGTTGTTGGCCACTCATGGGTAAAAAAGTCGGAGGAGAATGACTTTTTTGCCATGTGCAAGTACTGGATAGAGGTGAACACTGCTGCGTCCAAAAAAGTGAAAAAGTTGCCTATTACTTACAGGCTCCATTAGGTCGAACAGTAGAAGTGAAGTTTCACAACTTTACGGAACGTGTCGCTGTCCAAGGATGTTACTATGCTGGTGTTGAGATCAAAACGCAGAGGGACCAACGCAGCACCGGATATAGGCATGCCGCCATATCTAACTGCCCTGTTACAAAGTAAATGCTACATTAGGTTCTGCTCTCCTTCTTATACGGGGGAAGTGTTCAAATCCGCAAGCAATGTTGTGCCTATCATTACGTGGAGCAGGATCTGGCCGATCAAGGTAGAACTATGGTACCGAATGGGTGGGTGTCCTTATTTCTGCAAAGCTTACGACTCAGCAACCACTGATCGCACCGTTTCAGTCTAGACGAATGTATCATCGAGCTTGAAGATTTTCATACTTGGCATCTATGTATATATGTACATGTATCCAACCAATCGCCTTTTACTACAGTTTCTTTTGTTTTTTTTTGCTTGTACTATCCAAAGGTGTCCAAACTAGGGTTTTTTTTGCTTGTACTGTCCAAAGGTGTCCCAACTAGGGTCTTCATCCCAAATAATAACTCGCGTACGGAGTAAAGTTGTGACATTCCAGTGATAGAGGTCAAATCACATACAAGACTAGATAATTATTCCCGCTGATAAACGCCTCATCCGCGGGGTACTGGCCCCGTTTAGGCATGTTATCGTGACTGTATAAGGATCAGTGCTGAAACGACGTTGTGTGAAGGTGGAGAATTTGATTCGGTCTAATGGCGAAATAATTGCTCTTCTCTGTTCAAAAGATGTCGAGTCTTTTATCCGCTTTTATCAAGCTTATAGAAAACATATGAGTTGACGCAAATGTTATCGACTAAAATTAAGGGTTGACAAACATGTAGAAGAAAATATGTAAAGGAAGAAATAGTGCTGAAAAAATTGCTTTGATAAAGTTAGTGATCTAACTAAAGGCAGATTCGCGCTTGAATATCGCTTTCCCTATATGCGCGCGGTCCTGGAGAATAATCTTAGATTTTCTACAACGATGAACGTTGTTGAAAAATGTATGTATGTACGCAAATGTTTGCACTTCATTTTTCAGTCTACTATACCAAAGTAGCTTATCTTTGTAGGTACAAAAGTGACCATACTTTATTGCAAAAGTTGCTCAGAATGAGCTCATTTGTAAAAATGAAACAACAGTTCAATGAAGCCAACTGATTTTTTTAAATTTTTGAAAAAAGCATTTTTTTTGTCATCTTTCCGGGTACGACGTTGTCAGCATTTGATCTTAGCTACGTTCTAAAGGAATAGGAGTTAGAGCAGACATGACAGTCACTTCACTGGAAAAATAAGTCAGAAATGCCTTTGGATTTCATATGTACCGGAGAGCTGATAAATATTCTCTAAACTTGTTTCCAGCTTAAGCTTCTGAAACTTGTTTCCTCCAAAACATATTCAGATATCTTTAGGTGAATCAAGCACAACCATTTTCACTAGAAGTTTAGCTCTGAAAACTCGACAATATCCCAACAATTACCTGACTCAACCTAGCCGTAAAAGACAAACTACAGCGCGCTTTCCAGTACACCAAGTATGTTCACATCCGAAGATGTCGGTGGGATACTGTGCAACTATCTGGGATCTGAACAACAGCTAATATTACGGATTTCAAATGCAATTTCACAACAGTCAATCAGGGATAAGCGTTGATATTCTTGCATCAGAGTTTACCTACTGATCATCAGCAAATCTCGTGACCGACTGCAGAAGAATATATATTACATGTTTCTGCAATGCCGACGTTGTGATTACATCGTATCGCCATAAACACATCGCGAAAGTAATTGACTTTGATTGTGCTTTTCTCAGAGTTGAATAGCTTTTCAAATTTCGATACCTTACGTAGACATTGCTGCATAAAAAGGTATGCAAGGAGCTTAGAGTTTCCGGATCTAATTTGAAGGTGCCTCAAAAACGCTTCAAACATGCTCGCTGCCTATATCAAAAAAACATCTCAATAGAAAGGTATGCCTAGTCCTTCAAAAGGTAAATGAGCCCATCGCTTGAAACCGCTGTAAGTTTGACCAGAAATAGTTTTAAATGTTCTTGCGATACTACAATGAGTGTGGTATGGTGGGTGCGTGTGGGTGCTTGTGGGTGTAATCTTATTTGGATTCATCAATCTCATGTGCGGTCAATGCTGCTTCTGTAAGCCATTTCCGATTTCTTAAAAAAGCCTAAATTCCATACTTTTAAGTACAAAACAAAGAGCCGAAAACACATAGGTTGACGTAAAATCAAGGCATGTTCCTTATCCTGAAGCGGCAGAAAAGATCAGCATAAAACATCGTTCGATAGAGCAAATCAAGATTTACAAAATGGTATTTGAACAATGGCAAGGTTCAAAGTGAACAAGAAGTTTACGGGAAAAAATCTAGAAAATTTTGAATACTGAGAAATCACGTTGTCCTACAAAAAAGATTCTGCAGACTCCCAACTTGGTGCATATAGTATACACATGAAATATTCATTTGTACATTGTTTTCAAGACAGCAAATGTACGTATGCATAGCTGACGCAACAAGTAATCTTCACAAACAAGCTGAAGCTTTGTAGGATTTTTTGTGAACAAAGATCCGATTTTTGGACATTTAGAAATCTCTAGTTTTTCATCCTACGTGTATCAATTCTGATTGTTTTAACACCACTTTGTAGGCCTTGCTTTGCTTCAATGAGATTTTCACGGATCTTTATACCTTTTCTGCCGCTCATTTATAAGTAACATGCATTGATTATGCATCAATTTAGTAATTTATTCTTTACTAGCTAGCTTTACCAGTCCAGCCCGGGCCTTTGCTCAATGGAGATCTTGTGCTGTATCGGTCTCAGCGTATTTAGTGCACTGCGAGTATCCCCCCTCTCTTTATTACGGATGGCTTACGGGCGCTTTCCAATTGTATCCAAAGTATCTTTGTGATCCTGATACTGCTATGGGCTTTATCACCCCGTTTACATGAGAATGGGAAAATCCTTGGTTGGAGCATGATATGCTTTCGTTTCTTTAGAGATAAGCAAGACAATCAATAAGTCGAGGGTTCAGCGAATGGCCGCAAAAAGAGCCTATATGCTTCGCCGGGGTCTGAAACTTATGTATGCAAAGTTTGACTTCTACTCGTCAAAACATAAGATAATCTATTTCGAACATCGAAACAGTGTAGTCACAAACTTCAAGTTTTATACGTAGCTCAAGACAGGATTGAATTCGATCTATCAATCTTAACTATAGTGAGTTAGATGAAAGGCATATAAATTTCTTTTGACTTTTGGTAACGTCCGATTACGTAGTTAGGGCTTATTTTGATTCTTTTTGTCACATGTTTCCAAGAAAAAGCTTAGAGAACTCGGCTCACTCAATTCCGGCTTACTTTTTATCTGAAAAATAGCAGCTTTTGGATTATCTTGTTGTGATCATATCAAGAAGGTAATTTTTCATAGATGGCTGAGCAGATTATGAGAGCTTGCAATGCCTTGTCAGTTGAAAACAATTGTGTTGCACTACGTGTTGAGGTTATGAAGGTCCGAAAATTTTTAACATATCTTCTTTGTTTCGATGTAGTTTATATAGTTTGTAGGATCTACTACAGCTTCAAACTATAGAAGGCATTTAACCGCAATTCGGAAACTCACAATTTAATTCGCTTCTTCAGAAGTAATCTGAGATATCTCAATGGTCTTGAAAAAGATACTCGGCACCTTCGCGTAAAGATGCGCTATTGAAAGGGAGGCTCTTCAATCCTGAAACAAGCTACCGCAATTTTTCAGTCCGGTTATAAATGTTAAAGAACACACCATTCTTCAAAAGAGCAAGAAACTTTGATAAGTTTGCATGGTTTGATAGACGCCTCTTTTTTGACGTCACAGTGAGGTTTTCAAATCAATGTGAAAAAGAACTTGAAGTTTTGTTTCATCCAAGCGTGAGCTAACCAGATAATCCTGTCCTTCAACTTCAACCTCATTATCAACTGCGCCCCTTTATCCAAGCTTAAAGGCAGCGGCCCGGCAGATTCTCGACTTGAAGTTTTTTTGCTTACCTGGGGTAATTCGAGGCGCTGATTCCGAGAATTCACCTTGAAGAGCGCGAAAGTGGCAAAAACTACCATTTCCCAAGGCCTCCAATTTTGAACTTGGACGAGTGGAGCACGTCCCGCCATGTTAGAGGGACAGAGTCGTTGTGGGACCCTCGCAGTCATAACATTGCGGCATGCCTTCTCTGACGGATCAGGGAGAATCGCAAGCTCGTCCGCGCGCATTAGAATGGCTTGCATGTAACTGGATTTTCTATGCAAGGGCAGCATGCTGTGCGCTCGGACCTGCTCTGTTCTCTTGTTTGGGGTGCAAGCACCTTTCCATGTCAAAATTTTGGGATGTTCGGTTTTGGCGAGCTGCTGCCTTTAAGTAACTAGCTGATTGCCTATTAATCCAAAGTGAGAGCGGATGCTGCAAAAACCAATATGCATTCAATGCAAAAATAACAATTTGATGAACTTCCAATAATTTAAAACTGTAAAAACAGGAGTGTAACAAAAGCGTTTGCGGTCACTTGGTCGAGGGTCTACGGAGTTTATGAGTAGGAAGCGTAAAGCGTGTTAGAATGCATTTTGTGGCAAACTCTTTTTTCTAAAACAGTGTCTTTATTTGAAACTGACTGGGTAGTGTAGAGCTATGGCTATCAGACTGACGCTGCTTGTGCTCTTTGGTTATATTATCTTTGATTAATTGTAAGGGTCGATAGAGGCAACATTTTCCTGCAGTTCCGTCAATGAAATGATATGTAAGAACTCAAATAAATTGTACTTTATGATGGAAAGTAATCAACTGAGTACTTCTAGACTCCGGATTTTTAGAAGAGATTTTCGTCTTTTTCAACATACCAACTGTAGATAAAAACAACCAAAAGAAAGTCGCTAGTGCCAAATGTCGGCAAAAAGGCCTACCAAATTCGCATGTTCATTTGAAACTATTTCAATTCTTGCTGATTATGTGGATTCATACTTCCTTCCAGCAGTGCCGCTCTGAGAATACTTCAACTTTTAATAAAACTAGTTGGCTCTCCCGGTCCAGTCCGGGCCTTTTTCCGTTCACCTGCACTGCAAGCGCTCTCTCCCTTACGTGTTATGGATGACTTACCCTGGCACATCCGCTTCGAAACCGCATCCTCGTGATCCCGAGATGAAAATGAGCTTCACCGCCCTCCTTTACTTGGTTATGAGAAAATGCTTGATTGAACATGATAAGCCTTCAATCCCTTAAAAAACGTAAACAAATCAATAAATCGATAAAGGACCCCACGAATCGCCGCAAAAAGTAGCCTATCATCTGCGCAGGGCTCGAAAACATATGTGTGCAAAGTTTCAGCTAAATCGGTCGAAAGGCGCGCGTTTCTATAACGCACATACCCTCCAAACTGACAATATTTGAGTTTTATATAATACCAGTGCGTCACCTCTACTTCGCTGAGGCTCGCACTGGCTCTACTATCCATGTGCCTTACTCATTCTCGTAAAATCGTGGCACTGGAACTCACCGCGCTATGCCGACTACCACGAATAAAATGTAAACAACCACTCATTTGAACAGTCTTTTCAGATCGGTGATTTCGCGTGGATGAAAGTTTTCGCAGGAAGACAAACGCAAATTTGAATAGGTTTTTGGATTTGTCATGGCTTGGTAGTCGCCATAAAGATAATAGTAACCGTGAGCTGCATCTCTGTGCGAAAATCTTCTCAAACGCTTAGCTAGAACCTTGGCAAATTGACCATTTACACAACCAATTCTTTTTGGCGCCGTTTTCGTTATGTAGTAAGCTTTCGACCACTTTTCGGGGCTAAACTCCATCGCTTGCACATTTCCTTACCAAACTCATCCACGACTCTGCAAAAAGTGGTGATACGGACCGAATTCTGCGGTACAGAAGCCAGTTGGACCCGATTGGCGCGCAATTTCTGGGGGATCCACTCAACGAATCTACTCGTGTTTTTGCATGTTAGACTTTCATGAAGGTAGCATGCGCTATACAAAATTTGGGCTTAGAACGCTGGCTGAAACACGCTCCACGAATTTCGTAACACACACACACACACACACACACACACACACACACACACACACACACACACACACACACACACACACACACACACACACACACACACACACACACACACACACACACACACACACACACACACACAAAGTCACGTAAACATCCTTAGCCCGTTATTATAAGTTATGATATATGGATGATGTGCTAGCACAGTTCTAATAAAATAATTTAGCATTCATCTCACATTTATTCTTGCATAAATAAGGATGGGATGGAAGCAAACACACTACCTTGGGCGACATTTGCCTACATTCTTACTATTACAATGCTTTGCGAAGCAATTACCACGAACATATTTCTAATTTTGATCCAATGGAATTTTTAGAATTTTTCTCTTCGAAATACTTCGTGTCAGGTTGAGTCAAATAACTTTTGAGCTAAAACGTCCATGTTACAATACCGAAAACCTTGAGAACGAAAGTAACTTACAGTTGGAAATCAGCATGGCACAGAAGCATCTTTCAAAAAAAAATACAGCGTAAAACTACAAATACTGAGAACGCTTTTTGAACCTTCATGCTGTTCGACAATGTTAGGAACAGCCAAGAAGCTGATGACGCCCACAGTTATCACTCTACGTCATCGTAGTAATTATTCTTTAGGAGCAAAAAGTACATAATCTTATATATAAAGCTAAATGTCTGTTTGCATGTCTGTGTGCCTGTCTGTGTTCTGAATAAAAGTTTTTATTTCTGAACCGATCTGGACCAAACCTGGTGCACATACACTTCGGGGAGGGGCGGGTGTCGTAGACTACTTTTCGTCATCGATCGATATCGATTTCATCAATTTCTGCAAAGTTCGACCTGCGGGGCTGGAAGTTGGCACAGAGTGGTAATCGGGTATGCTGAGGGAACGTAATACTAGTTTTTAGAAGTATCCACTACTTTTATCAATTTATCGATTTTTTGCAAAGTTTGACCTGCTGGGAGTTGGCACAGGGGGGGGGATAAGTGAGCATGATGATTACAAATGCAATAGTATTTTTCACAATTGACTGCATCTTTTATCAATTTTATCGATTTTTCTGCAAAGTTGATCTCCGGGGCCGGGATTCACAGGGAGGTAAGTGAGAAGGCATGCTGATTACGAAAACAAAACGGAGATAGGGAATTGGCAAATAGAAGTGGGCACTGGGAAAGTTTTGTACAGAGAATAGGGATAGTGACCTTTGACCTAGGCCCGCAGTGAACCCTCTCCCAGCGCAACTCGGCTGGGGGCGGGCCTACGTTGAACGTAAAACGACTCAGCGCAGTGTCAAACGAGCGATTGATTGGAAAATCCATGCCCTACCGAGCTATCATGGCGATAAAGGCGAATAGCCTTTAGGAAAGTCAAATTTCCGGTGGTTCAGTGGTGTAAACGTCGGCGTGGTGTTGGCGCGGTGCCAGGATCAAGCCCGCAGCAGGGGAAACTCCTTTGCGGCGATCTGAAAAAGCCACTTTTATCGAGTCGCATTTGTAGGGCCAGATCGCGTATTTGTGCCCAAATTGCACATTAGCGCCGTTTTTCTTGAGCAACATTGCTCGTATATTTTTCATCCTCTTTGACTCACTTTGTGTCATTTTTACGCAATGTTTTATAATCGCATTATAATTATGCGTAGTTATTGCATGATTAAGCATATAATTGTACTTACTTGTACCATTTTGAACCATGCACGCTTACGCCGCCAAAACCCTGAATAGCAGTTCGCAGGAAGACAAAACTGTCAACCCAGTTAGTAGAGCGGTAGAGAGGGCGGCGTCTTGTGCCATACATAATAAGTTCAAGTTCTGCCTGGCAGAAAGCATTTTGTGCTGCGTGAAGGAGGTTCAGCTCCTAACGTTGTCGCCAAAACACACCAAATATTGCCGCGCCCTTTATTCAAACATAAATGGAATAGACATCTGAATAATTTTATTTAGATGGCCACCCTTTTCTTCGATGTCCGTCAGCAGCGGCAAAGGAATGTTCGTTACAACCGCTCCATTCTTCCTCTGTTTACCAGCAGAACGATCGCATCTTCTGCTCGGAGTATAGATTTCGCAGAAAAGATGTTAAGAAGATCGTGAGGATGCTCGAACCGCTGCTGCCGGGGGCAGGGTTGGAGCCTTGGGAAATTAGCACAGAGGACGTTTGAGCAACTCCTTTTGAAAATGCATTACAATTACTCTGTATTCGCTTCAGGTCCTCATCACACTCCGCTACCTGGCCACCAACAGTCATCAAACGGTCATAGCTGACTGTTTCGGGATGGGCCAGAAAGCAGTGAGTGACGTCGTAACCCGGGTAGTGGATACTCTCAATCATCTCACAATAGAGGCCCGCTTCTTCCGATTCCGGCCACCGGATGAACGCTGGTGCTTGCGAAGGCCTCGAGAATTCGCCAGGAACTCGAGCTTCACAAGTAAGAGATCTTGATGATTATCTTATCTTCCAATAAGATGTGTTGTTTAGATGTCATTGGATGCGCCGATAGTTGCCTCATCCGAATCCAGCGGCCCATCAACTTCGGCAACCACTATACTGCCGAAAGGCACGTTGTGCTATCAACATGATTGCATAGTAGACGCCATGGCTCGTTTTATGTACATCAACTGTGGATTCGCTGGAAGGCACCACGACTCCTTCATATGGCAGCATTCGCAAGCAGCTGCGGAGTTCGACGAAGGTCGTGCTCGTCGTAGATATTGCCTCCTGAGCGATGCCGGCTTTGCCAACCCCAGAAGTGTGATGGCTCCTTTCCGAGAGCTGGCCACAGAGAATGACATCAGGAAGAGGAGGTTCAACAGGGAGCACGCAAAACTTGACGAGTCGTCGAGCAGGCGTTCGGAACGTAAAGCGGCGTTTCTGCACACTGTACAACATCACCCGCATTCCGGCTCCGAAGCTCCAGAAGGCATTGAAGGCCTGCATCATTCTCTACAACATCGGCGTCTATCTGGGAACGCATAGAGGATAGCCGCTGTCGCCCATTCGTCGCGGTTGAATGTCCCTTCGAATTCCAAGTGCTTAAAAGAGCAAAAATGAGAGAAAAAGGAACAAAGAAAGATGGAATCTACCGGCATTTTGCTGTCCTTTGTAGAAATGTCTTTGAGCATATTTTCACTACTCAATCACTGTTGCAGCAATGAATTTAAAGAAAAAAGCTGACCAAGCATAATTTAGACAGGAAATAAACCGAAAAAAGTTTTCGAGATGCTTGCAAGAACCCGAATAATATATAGGTAGACATAATAATAAACAGTGTACAACTGAGCCTTGCATCGCTCCGAATATTGTCATCTAAAAATGTTAAAATAAATCGCGAAATAAGCGCTCTGCAATAAACTAACTGTGGTAGCCGATCCGTGATAGTCGAAAACAAACAAACAACAAAATTATGATGGCAGTATTATGTAGTGAAACAATAACAACATGACATGAAAATAGGATTGATTGAGAGAATGAGACATTCTGTAAAAGATAATAAACCATCCAAACAACGAAACAAAAGAAACATTCAACCGGACTGCTGGCTTGAGAGGACTGAATCTTTTATATTTGGACATTGGGGTTATTTTCGGTTGCTTCATCTCAATTGCTTGCGATCTGTCTTGCTGGAGCATGACGTAATCAGTAAATACGTCCAATGTGCGCGTTAATTTGCGGAAGAATTTTCGTTGATCCTGAATAATGACGATAAGTGCCTCGAATCATGTATGCCACTCACTTGACAAAAAAGAATTTGCTCTTCTAGGACATCCTTCTCGGTAAATCGGTAATGCCTGGGCCGCCTGTCCTCGCTATCACTGAGGAAATCATCCTGAACGCCAAGAATATCGAAAAACGAGCTTGATGGATATGTGGACTCAACATGTTAGGTTCCGGCGAAAGCGAATGGGGCAATACATCTTCATCCGGGGATGCAGCCCTTTTCCTCTGCAATCACTATCCAGTTGTAACTGTACTTAGAGAGAAACCACTGATATCTACTTTACCAACCGACGATTCCCCCTCTTTGAACAGGACTGTTGTGGATTATTGTCAAAATTCTCTCACAGGGCTTGTTCTGTGGCACTTTCAAAGGGGATGGGCTCATTCGTGTTTGCGAACGTATTCTCATCCCTTAGAGAGCGTCCTCCTCCCGTAAGCCCCCTATACCTGAAAGCACCCAAGTGAGATATTTGTTCCATGTTTTTTTGTTTTACGTGTTTTTTTGTTTTTTTTGTTTTTCTTTTTTTTTGTTTTTTTGTTTTGAGAGACACTCCGCAGGTTCATGTCGTTCAAAAGCACATTCGCATGGTTCACGTAGTAATTAATGATGTGCTTCGAAATAGCATTCGGAATCTTGTTGACGATTTCTTAAAATGAGAGTTCAATGCTAATTTACTCATCCTTTTGCTTTACCCCTCGGTGTTCCAGTGCTTGCAGCAAATCCAGACATACGAAATGATAAAGTTGCTACTTACTATTTTCGGTTTGAGTTCGACGTTCACAACGCAACGGCTACAGTCGAATAACCACTTTCTGTAAAGCTTTTCCTCATGTAACAGAAAACCGACAAAAAGGAAAAATAAATGCACACGAAGTAACAAGAGATGAGACATGAGATGCGTACAAATTTTTGGGAATATAGCGAACAAACAATGAAGAAGAAGTAAAGGCGTGATGGCAAGCGTTAAAGAAAAAAAGAAAAGAGTGGCATCGTAGCGAAAACAGTGGGAATGCACCGAATTACCCAAAATCAAACCATGGGAAAAACGTGTGCAGTTTCGCGGTGAATTCGAAACGCAATAATATATCGGCTAAATTGTCCTAAATTCCTCACGAGCAACTTGCGGGAAATTTGTCTAACCCACCTCTTAAGCAGACTGTCTCTCTTATGTCACCCGAAAATTCAACCTCGGATAAGTGGCATCCTGTGGCCGTATTCATCAACGAAACCCCTGGGTTCCGGAGCCCATTAGGTTAGTGCTTTTGATGAATATCGATTCTACTCCAGGGAAGAATCGATATTCATCAAAAGCACTAACCCAGTGGGTTCCAGAACCCACGGGTTTCGTTGATGAATACGGCCACTGGTGAACTGACTGTGCACTTCGGGCAGTCTTCTGACTGCTGACTGACTATCCTAAAGCACGGGAAAGTGGGCGGGATTAGTTCACCCGAGGAAGTTCTTCTAAATGACTAATCTCGTCACCTGAGATGAATGGGAGTTTACTACGGGCCATAGTGTTTTGACGGGGCCGTGCAGAGCCGGGTATGCCAGCTAGTATTTAATTGAAAATGGTTAGTTCAACGGAAAGTAAACAATGCCAAGTGCAGCAGTGAGCATACTTGCTTCGCCTTCTTGGCAAAGTGAAAAGAAAAATAGTCGGGCTTGTTTCCCAAAATATTTACAACAAGACTATTGAAGCAAAATAACTCATTGCCAGCTTTTTTTTGAAAATAAGATCTTTTTGTTGACTTGGTATTTACAAGTATCCAGAACCTCACAGAGATCGCGAGCTGCGCATGTGCAGTTGCAGTAGGCTTTGACCAAGACTGTTATAGCTCTTTCTAGGCCCATGTTTCAACTGGTTAGCCTTCGTCGCCTAAAATGTGAGGAGTAAGTGAGATCTACCCTCCAATTGTTTCATCACCACAGGAAAAGGAAAAGTTGGGAATGCTTGTAGGCAGCTCACCTTAAACTTGTGAAGACTGCAGACCACCAGTGACATGCGTTAAGTGAATAATGAGCTACAGCACGCAGGTATGAGGGGTGTTGATCAAAACCCGCATAATCCAGAAACAGCGTGAGTTCATTCGTTATGGCGACGAATTTCTCCTTCCTGTTTATTTTTGGAATCTCAGCGAATAGCAGACTTCAATGAAGCTTCGTAGCTTCACTGAAGCCTGCTAGGTGTTCGCTTGGATTCGATAGCTTCGATAGTCTAGAGACAGAGCGAAAAAGTGAAGTTTTTTTGGGACGCAAGTAATATTAGTGCGCAAATCGCATATTATATTACACAGTTAACCTTTTTGGATTACTTTTTTCTAATTATTAGAAAATGTGACAACGGCAATATACAGGGTGTCCCAAAAAAGTGTGCCTACCGTTTGATTGTTACTAACTCTCCTGTCATAAATTCTTTTGAGAACCATTTTGTAAAGCTGGCTTCAACTTCGATTTACAGCATGGAGCAAGTCATCGATCGCTCTTCATTACTGTAGGATTACGGTAGGAACTCTTGGCTTGGAGCGTCACTGTGAAAAGCGGCCTTTAATATTTTTGAAAAAAGCTCAAAAAATTATGTGACAGGGTTTTCATGAAGGCCAAGTCTAATAATCAATTTTGTAAGATTTTGAAGCTTTCTAAACGGTGTAATCATATTTTTATGAACGAGATCAAGCGGCTGCCACTTTTGCCTAGGGTAACTTTTAGGGAAGCATTATGATTAGTTGCAAAGTTCATATTTGGAATCAACGACTCTAATCAGCCTTGTGTGAGAGCTTTCGGTGGCTTTGTTTCTTTTCTGAGACCAAATATATGGTCCTGCATGGCTCAAAACCCTTGTCAAAGTTCCTACCATAATCCTACATTAATGAAGGGAGATCAATGATTCAATGACGGTCCATATTGTAAATCTAAGTTGGAGCCAGCTCTACAAATTATTTCCTTAGAGGAAGAACTTCATGACAAGAGAGTAACAATCAAAAAGTAGGTAGCAAATTTTTTGAGACACCCTGTATAGGCAGCAGAATTATACAGAAAGAAGACATTACGATGAGTTGCAACATATTGATACAGAATCGTGCTAAGACTGTCGCAAAATTATGAGAAGCTTTCTCAAGCAATTCCCAAATGAATGGGGCTTGTTTCCATATATTTGGTTTTTGAATGCTCAGGTACACGTGATACGCGCATCAACTGTACCACTGAAATCATAGGATTCTTAACATATTAGGCTGATGCATGACTTCTGCACCAAAATAGATACAGACCGCAATAACCTGAAATAATCCTACATCCCAAATAGTATTCGATACATCATTATATAGAGCAAATCTAGCTCTACAAGATAGTGCTTAAATATCTGCACCAGCTTTGATCCACGCGAAGTTTTGAGCCAAAAACTGAAAAAAAAACCATGCGTTCGGAAACCTTAAGACCAGTCAAAACAAAATTGTAACTTCGTTCAAAAAGCTCCTACAAAATTTCTTTCTTGCTCACGCGTAGACATTCCACGTAAGACATTTCGTTATGCAGTTGCTGTATTTTTTCTCAGCAAACGATGAGAAAACGAACTTTTTCATGTTTTTGCCAATTAGTGCTGAGATGTTCTAGCACTAGCAGTTGTATAGTACATGCCTCTAGCAGTGAAACTTTACATTTTCAGCTTTCTAGAGCTGCTAGTTCACGAGAAATGACGAATCTAGCTGTCCTTATCCGAATTTTTCTTGCCTAATTGCCAGAAATTCGATATTTCTCGTAAACCAGCTGCTGTAAAAAGCTGAAAATTCGCACTCACGCTTCTAAGGTCCTATAGTATACAACTGTCGGTGCTAGAACATCTCAGCGTTGTTTTGGAAAAAGCATGAAAAACTTCGTTTTCTCAATTTTTAGCTGAGAAAAAAATACAGCAACTGCATAGAGAAATGTCTTATACGAAGTGACAATGCATGAGCATGTTAGGAATGCTGAAGGATTTTTCTGAACGGACTTACAATTTTTTCTTGGTTTTTTGGGGCGCTTGAATCTTTTTCGTCTTTGGCTTCAATCTTCGCTTGGATCAAAGCTGCTGCAAAACTTTAAGCACTATCTTGTAGAGCTAGGTTTGCTCTATCTATAATATATCGAATCCTATTTGGGATATAGGATTATTCCGGATTATTGCGGTCTATACCTATTTTGGTGCAGGAATTATGCATCAACCTAATAGAATCTTAGACCGATTATGCATCCTCCATTATCGGTCATTAAAAAAGCAAGAAAAGGGTTTTGAGAAATTTGAAAAAATCACACGTGTGGTAGTCTCGTTTTCTGTCTCATGCTTTTTTTCTACTACCTAAATGATCCTTGTACAAATGTTATATTTTTGAAAAGTCAGAGCAGTCGTTTGTGTGATAGAAACGCTTTCATGAGACGCATTCCTTTGTTTGTTGAATGTTATCCTTTATTTTTTCCGAATAAGACAAGTTAGCTAACATTCTGTCCTGTTGAAAAAGAACAATGGGCACTATATTCGCGATAAAGGTCACGAATCGAGTTAAATAATTACTGTGTTGTCGGGCGATTCTCTACTGTTTGTGGTTTTTTCCATTGCTTCTCCCAAAAGTGTTTCCCTACAATTCCGGAAGCCATACCGAGGAAATTTGCAGCCGTGTCCTCGGCAAGGTCCAGTGCTTGGGGACCTGAAGTTATGGATTGTGCGTCACTCTTGTTTGTGCATGAAAGAAGGCTTACTGAGACCGAGGGAAGCCAGTCCACCCGTTGGTCCTATATATGGAGCCAGAAGTTGTGCAGATGCATGAGCATTCAAAATGCCAGCAATAAGTATTACAAACAGCCCGAAGTCCATTTCCTAAAATTAGCTGGAGTGCATTTGTTGCAGAGCAGATTTTCAAGAAAGAAATAGTCTACCTTTTTGTGACAACAAGGACGGTGCACACCGAAAACACCTGTATTTATATAAACTTGCTGCTAATTAGATTAAGACAGGTTCTGTTCATTCATTAAATACAGTACAGTACATATATAGATATTGAAAAAGATTGCTCTGAAAGCAATTTCGCGTTGTGTCAACAGGCGTGACATTAACAGAACACAGAACAAACATTTGAAAGAAGTATTAGTAACCTTTGATGCATATTTTGGTGCAACTTATACAACTTCCTTGGAGAGGTCACCAAAATCCACTACCCACCGTGATGCCGAAATCAATATATTTCTAAATTTTTGTACTGATTCTTTGGGTACAAGTACGGTGTGGACGGATCAGATCCTATAAGATGCAGAACAATTTTTTCTCCTTTCAGTGCTTATCTTCTGAAATTTTTTAAGCCGATTTTGGTGCTAGTGGTAGTGCTAGTGGTACTATCAAATTCATACTTGTTCAACTTGAACCATAGGCTGTCAACGAGCAATTTGGGTGTAACTATTATGTTGTGTAAAAAGTTCGTTCGTATTTTTTGTTCCAATTTTTTCTCAGTAAAAGCATTCGGCTAGCGTTAGTATGCATTCGAAAGTTCTAAGTCTGACCTATCAAAATACTATCATTATATTCCCAGTTTTTGGAAAGTTGAATAAAAGATTCGACTACAGAAAAATCTGAAATACCGAAAATCCCATTTTCGACATACGGTGACCGCCAAGAAGTTGAGGACAAGCTTCCCTCCCTTTTTCATCGCTCTTTTTCAGAGGCAAAACAAGGATGAAAAAATGTAATAACTGCATGAGGTGATAGAGCTCTTCAAGATCTACAATATACACTTTGAGTTTTTTGAGAAACATGTGTTCTAAAAATTTTAAGAACTTTTTCTAAAAAAAGTCCGAAAATGGCCGCGTCACAATGTCGCGGACAATAATTCTTCGAACGCAAAAAGTTTGTTTTGAGTCCTATTTTAAAGCGGAAACACAAGTTATCGGAACGGGTAAACATACTACTATACAGAGCTCGTCAAGAACTACACACTGGTTATGGTTGCTTCCCCAAAAAACGCAAGCTTGAGTTTTATTTTAGTTTTCTCAAAAAGAACTTCTAATTTCCTTTATCAAGCCAAATTTCTTCACACGGAAACCTATTCAAGACATCCCAACAAAGTCGTCTCGATAAAATAGATGCTCTTCGCCATCCTCTATGCATCGGACGTGTGCTGATGAGTTTCTTAGCTGAAAATGGCCCTTGGCAGTGCTTGCGCATGACCCCACCTGCACCTCACCACTGACTTGTACCGCTTTGCAGGCTTGTAACTCGGCCTGCAGTCAATACTTGAGCCTGAAATTAGGCTCATTCGAAAGAACGAGACTTCCTCTACACGATGGCATGCAAATGAGTTGAGTTTGAGAATTTTCAGAGATTTGGCGGATAGAGGTGATTGGAGTGAAAGCTCTTATGAACACCAGAACAGTCTTAGAGCTTTGAAATGTATATTACAAGAAAATTGACAGTTTTGAACTTCCAGGATAAAATTGGTGGCGAAAGGAGCTCTCTTCAGCTTAAGCTGAAAAGTGCTTAAACTACAACTGAAGCTGTCTTCTACCACCCCATCCGCCAAATCTCTGAAATTTTCCAAACTCAACTCATTTGCATACCATCGTGTAGAGGAAGTCTCGTTCTTTCGAATGAGCCTAATTTCAGGCTCAAATGTTGACCGCAGGCCGAGTTAAAAGCTTGCAAAGCGGTACAAGTCAGTGGTGAGGTGCAGGTGGGGTCATGTGCAAGCACTGCCAAGGGCCATTTTCAGCCAAGAAACTCATCAGCACACTTCCGATGCCTAGAGGATGGCAAAGAGCATCTATTTTATCGAGACGTCTTTGTTGGGATGTCTTGAACAGGTTTCCGTGTGAAGAAATTTGGCTTGATAAAGGAAATTAGAAGTTATTTTTTGAAAAAACTAAAATAAAACTCAAGCTTCCTTTTTTTGGGGAAGCAACCATAATCAGAGTGTAGTTCTTGACGAGCTCTGTATAGTAGTATGCTTACCCGTCGATAACTTGTGTTTCCGCTTTAAAATAGGACTCAAAAGAAAACTTTGCGTTTGAAGAATTATTGTCCGCGACATTGTGACGCGGCCATTTTCGGACTTTTTTTAGAAAAAGATTTTTAAAATTTTTAGAACACTTGTTTCTCAAAAAACTCAAAATGTATATTGTAGATCTTGAAGAGCTCTATCACCTCATGTAATTATTACATTTTTTCATCCTTGTTTTGCCTCTGAAAAAGAGCGATGATAAAGGGAGAGGGGTTTGTCCGCAACTTTTTGGCGGTCACTGTATATGTTATACTGCGTCTTGAATGGGTTTAAGCGCTTAAGAAACAGCTCAAAAATTTTCGACATGTATGAATAGAATACTGTAGCCCCCGCAGATTACTTGTAGGTGCTAAAACCATTCAAAAATTCATAATGTAAGCTCAAAAAAAAGGTTTGTTTTTTGTCTTTTTGGCGTAACGTTAATATCTGAAGGCAGCTTTGAGGAAGGGTGGTAGCCGAACAATCCAGGAATTGGAAGACTATGTGGTCTTTGATCGCTAAATCATCGAATAAATGGTTACATAGTCACAAATTCAGAATTTGAGAGACACACAGCCCACGTACGCGAGACAACGAACACCGCTGCGGCTAAGCTTTGTTGCTACGTCGACTTTTGCAAAAATTGCATTAAACGGTCGGTGAAAGGAAGTGGGCAATCGTAAACACTTTCAGTAAGTGCGTAAATGATTAGTCAGTTGTTTTTCTTCGTTGTCAAGCTTTTTGAATAAATTTCAACAGTGATTAAGGGAAAACTAAGAAAGAAATAAGATGTCAAAAATGGAATTTTTGTCTGTTCAGATTTTCGGTGTGTAGTTAATTTTTTTGTTCAATTTTTCAGGAAATGAAAATATAACAACAGAAGTTCGATAGAACAGATTTAGAGCTTCCGAACGCATACTAATACTAAGCCAAGCGCTGTGCAAAATATTGAGAAAAAATCAAAACAGAAAATGCAAACGAACTTATTACACAACCTAATAGATGCACATTTTCTTCTTTTTCCAATAGGTTTTTCTGTTTCTGAATCGTAAAGATTCGAGGGTAGAATTAGTTGAGTCGTGTGTATAAACGCACCCCATGCTATCCAGAAAGTTGAAGTTTGGTACTGCAGGCTGTGAATGGCCATTTGCTTTGCTCGTAATCCACTTTTGGAAGTTTCGAATTTTGCAAACTTATTACGTTTATTGCGTTTGTGCCTGGAATAGGCCGGCTAGAATTTAGTGGTTCTGATCACAATTTCATCAGAAGGCCATGTCGCGTCATGGGCGGGAGATGAAAAAACTGCTTTTATCTTAGGATTTGCTCTATCCATCCGCTGCTTACTCTTCTGGGGTTGTTTGAAAATTGAAAACAATAACAAAAGTTGGTCATGAAAAAATGAACTAGACAATTCTCTGAGAAATTGTTGGTTGAGCTGCGATAAAAATGGTTCAATGAAACATGAAAAACTGCTTCGAATGCTACAAATATCTTCTATGAACTTCTAATTTGCCTAATATGACCCTGTAAAAAAAGCGGAATCATTTTTGGAAAAAGTTGATAGGTCAAGCAAAAACTTTTCTCCAGCGGTCATTAGAAAGACAAGTTTTGAACAAACGAAAAAAGATGAACAGGTTTGCGAAATCGAAATGCCTGATTTCATAAAAAAGCAAATTGTTCGAAATATGAAATGTACTTTCTGCGAACATCCTTTTTTTTGCAAAGCACTCCTTGGTTTTCTATTCACAATTTGAACCTGGTCGTTCTTTATCTGAACTACATTAATGATTATGGTCGGTTACAAAGTGCATTTTATCGACTTTGCTGTAAAACCAAACTTGCCAAGGTTCAAGATGAGCCAGACAGAAACAGAGAAAAAACATTTGCAGGCATACTGCTGTAAGACGACCTTTGACTCGGTAATTTTATCATATATTTTGCTAGGAAATATAACTCTCCTTCATCGTAAAGTTGATAGTTGACAATATTGAAGTATTAGGTTGTTGCATAAGTTCTGTCCGATTTTTTGCCTTATGTTTGAGGCAGCTGTTCTAAGAGAATTTCATTTCTAATGCGGTATTGTTAGTATCATTAGAAAGTGCTTTTCTCGCGCTTTTTAAGGCATACCAAAATTCAATAAATTTCTTAGTGTAAGGAGATTTTAAGCATAAAATCTCCAAGTGGTCGAGGTACGTTCTCACCCTAGAAATATGTTCTTGCGAGGAAATCTCCACAATGCGCCCTTCAGGGTCAAGTTTTTTAATTGGTAGCGGAATAAGTGTGTAATAGACTAGCATTCGCATAAGTTCAGTTTCATGAAGAAAACGTCTTGCTAGTAAAATTTATTGTCAAACATTAATTTTCTGTATAGATGTTTTACAAGCTATAACTTTCTGTGAATAGAAGTAATCGACGACTTCAAAATTGGGGGTGCTAGCGTAAAGCAAGGGCTAGCAGAGATCATCCACCAATTTTTTTTCGGCGCTCACGGTAACTGTAAAATTTTCGTAATTTGTAAATAGGCATGCACACATGCGCTGAAGCGAGATAAAAAAGTGGCCAATTTATTGTTCGGTCATCAAAATCTTTCGGCAACGCAGATCCTATGAGCAATTTCACAGCGCATAATAATCTACGAAAAATTCACTATCTATCCATTATCAAATAAGATGCCTATCAATTCTCATAAGGGAGCACTGCCATGTCAAAAAAGACAGGTTTGAAGAAAAACGCTGTGAAGTTTTTGAGTTCTTGCTTCTTCCTTAACAAGAATTTTCGCAGGTTTCAATATGTATCTGATAGCCAAGGATTTGCTCAACAAATAGAAACTAAGATGCTGGAAAAAAGCTAACT